TAGTGGGTTTTAATGGTGATCGACTGGGAATTTAATGGGATTTAATTGGATCTGATGTATTTCATGGACATTTCTGGGATCTAATGATGATCTAACGTTGATTTCATGGGATTTAATGGGGGTTTATAACATGGAGATATTCTGAATATATAACCAAACACAGGTGATACGTTGGAACGGAAAATCGCCGTTTCCAGAGCGTCCACTCGTTACATGGTATACTGATGTATATTTTGAACATCACCATTTTATGGATCTGTCAGCAGTTCTTCCATTCTTTTCATGGGCCATCACCAGTTGTATATGCTGTGGGTCACTGGATTGGGAAAATTCAGGATGACTTGTGTGCTGGGTAACAGTGACCACTATCTAGGCCGAATTCGGGGTAACGGTGGGCAACTTTCCTATCATGTTAAGATGTGGTTCCTCCCGAAAATAAATATAGCCGAAATAGATAGAAATAGATAGAACTAAATAGAACTAGATAGAAATAGATAGAACTAAATAGAACTAGAAAACTAGAAAGAACTAGATAGAAATAGATAGAATAGATAGAACTAAAAAGAACTAGATAGAAATAGAAAGAAATAGACAGAACTAAAAAGAACTAGATAGAAATAGATAGAACTATATAGAACTAGATAGAAACAGATAGAACTAAATAGAACTAGATAGAACTAAATAGAACTAGATAGAAATAGAAAGAAATAGATAGAAATAGATATAGCTAAATAGAACTAGATAAAAATAGATAAAGCTAAAAAGAACTAGATAGATCTAGATAGAAATAGATAGAACTAGATAGAAATAGATAGAATAGATAGAACTAAAAAGAACTAGATAGAAATAGATAGAAATAGACAGAAGTAAAAAGAACTAGATAGAAATAGATAGAACTATATAGAACTAGATAGAAACAGATAGAACTAAATAGAACTAGATAGAACTAAATAGAACTAGATAGAAATAGAAAGAAATAGATAGAACTAAATAGAAATAGATAACTAAACAGAACTAGATAGAAATAGATGAATATGAATATGTGAGCCTTTTGCACTTCTTTGTTTGCAACAGGGGAACCACCACGAAGCATAGGGCATAGCTCAACCGCTCCCTATTTTCCCTAGGCGTCCCAGCAAGGCATCATTACATTGGCAGATCCGCTGAAACTGGGTGAAGTGCTGGTAGCGCGTTTCAGCTTGACCTGAGCACCCGTGATGGCTTCAAAACGTCAGGAAATATGGTGTGTCCGCCAAAAAAAGGGGATTTAAGCACTCATTGATATAGCCATCACAACCTCATGCCATCCCCAAAACGACTGGTTGTTGGCATGGTTTCCGTGTTGGATTAGTCACTAGTGCGCAGCAAAACCACCTAGTACAACCTTTTGGGGCATTGCTCGTCTCAAATCATTAATTTCCATGACAGATGGGGTTGGAAGTGCAGTCTATGGTGGAATGATCGGACAGCTGAAAAAGAAGTACCTGGATGCAACAAGTGTGTCTACAATAATCAGTCTACAGGATAAAAACGGATGGCAGTTGTAAAAATGACCAGGGCAAAAATCAGAGAACCGAAATGAGAAGACAAATCATCGGAAATCTTGGACGTATATGGCAAACATCATTTGTGGTGATGGCAGGGGAAAACACAGGTGATGCTTCGATCTTTCCATTTCCTTGAAAGAAGAATCATCCGATCAATTTTTCCACGAAAGTTTCAATCCATCCCATGCTCGGTCCTTCAACATCAACAAGGCCGTCGCTGGGAAGATGTCCTGGACCCCCTTTCACTGGAGAGGACACAGTCTTGCTTTCAGAAAATTGGGACACAAGACAGCCTGAGCCAGAATTCCGGGCATTGCAGCCTCCAAAGCCCATGAAGGCATCAAGCGCGTTGATACCGTGGAATCGATTCGATGTCCTTGACCGCCAGGGTCATATGTATGTGAGGCGTGTTCCCCATGGGGCGCATCTTGGGATTTTCCACGATTTAGTTGAACTACTTGATCAGGTCGTCCAGATAAAGCTTGGGCAAGTACTAGGCGATGCCCGACCTGGCAATGCTGCTCCTCAAGCACTTCCTCTGTTGATGAAGGCACAGTCTATCGAGCTGTCACGGCTGTGCACCGTTACACTATCCCCGCAAATTTTCAAGGGAAGATGGGAAAGAAATACCAGCAACCAACAACTTTTGCAAAACACAAGTTGTAGCTTGATCTTGAAAACATCATGCATTGGCAATACTCCTTTCGTGGGCAAGTTCAAATACCATCATGGGTGATACCTCATTAATCTTAGGAAATACTTGTCCTACTATTTCTGCCATTGTTGGTGGCTCATTACGTCCAATCGTTTTTGTTGCGTAGATCACCTATGACTGGTGCTCGTCTCATTCCCATCTTTTGCGGACCGACCATTTTGACATTTTTTATGGGTCATGTTCCGGTTGGTTACACATAACATTTTGTAGTTATTTGTCCATTCTTGCTGGGTCACGT